CTTCCAACCCAGACCGTTCTGTGATTCTGTGAAAATACCTGTTTTCTGCTGTCTGCTGGGTGACACAGGGAGACTTTGTTCAGCCTGTAGCCGTAGCGACTGCACGCTTAGGTTTTTCTTTTTTGTACAGATCCTGTTTGCAGTAAGGGTTTGGCTTCTCATCCAGACTAGGAGAGGAATATTGTCTCTTGGGCCAGGCCTTGCTAGTCAGATTCTGATGAGGCTGGAGACATCAGCGTCTCCTGCAAATAGTCCCTTTTGGGGGCTCCTGCTTTGGGGTGAGAAGAGCCCTTCAGAGCTCATTTTGCACCATACCTGCATGGGCTACCCCATACAATCCCTGACCAGCAGTTACTAGAAAACATACTGTGTGAAATTTTAAATCTTGATCTTATTTTAAGAAGCAGGTGAAGAAAAATAGATCATACTTTAAAACAAACCGAAAATGCATTTCTGCCCCAGAAAGGCCAGCCAAGAGGGCTGACAGTTGAAAGGACAGTGGACCAGAAATCTGTCTGTAGGGGGGATCAGCTCCAAAAGTCAAAATGAGGTCACCTGAAAAAGAAATTTATAAGATGTCTTTGGAGAAATAGACTTGAATACATAGAGAGGGAGAGCTGTCTACCCAAAGTCTCAATCAAATGAGAAGTTTTCTACAGTAACATTAGTATTTAGTACTGTCAATAGCAAACCTAATAAAAAAGCAGGAAGCCTGATATGAGCCTTAGCAACAGCAACGCTCCTGTTGTTGCAAGCCTCCAGCTGTTCCAGACTGGGGTACTGATGCTGCTCTTGGTAGGGTTGGTTGCTCCCCAGCGGCTGAGTGGGCAGGAAGTCAAGAGACAAACTAATGAGCTGTGACTGCTAACTGGGGAAATTTTTGCCAGAGCACTGTTGCTAATTGTCTGCTGTGTCTTCTAACACTTCTCAGTGTTTTCTGTTGAAGTACTGGTAAATTGAGAGACTGTAAAAGTAGTATAAAAGTAATGTTTAAGGTTATATCTCAGCTACATCATCTCAGTCTTTTTTTTTTTTTTTTTTTCATAAAAAATGGAGAAAGGTTATGTTGTGTGGTATAAGGTAATTTGATATTTGACAGGCAGTTAGGAATATGGAAAATTAGGAAGCAATTTTCTAAGTTTCTAATACCTAAATACCTAAAGCTGTGGTATGCAAGAAATGAGACAAGTAATTTCATTGCTGTTTGAGGAACTGAGAAAGTGTCCATCCGTTATTTGGGTTTTTTGGGGTTTTATTTTAGTACATAGAATTCTTTATGCTTTCTGATATGCAAAGAGTTAAGGTTATATACCAGTACTCAAATTTGCAAAGGAAGAGGTTCACATTTTTTCGCAGACACAAATCTATAGAGATGTTTCGACATCTGTGTCTCAGTGTCTTATAAAAGATGATCTGTGTTCTTTATTTGTTTAGTTTTTACTTAATTTGTTAGATTTAATTGCAGAAAACAGTAAATAATAAACTTTTTTGCTTCTTTACAAGTTACTTTGATCATGGTGAATAAACAGAGTTATTTTATCTCTATTTCAGTTTGGCAAAATGGAAGGTGGCCTGAATGTTTGAATTGCTTCATTACAAATGAAAGTGAACTAACAATCTCCTGAACACTCTGGCTTCAGTAGCTCTGAGGAGAGGAGCCTTGCCCACTCTGTCAGATTAAGATGATTTTAAAAAGCTATGGTTTTTTTACGGACTAGATTTAATCCCCAGATGTATTTTTGCAGTGCACATTTTGTAAAGTTTACCAAAAACATTTCTGAGTTAAAACAAAACTTTTAATTCTTAAGCTTTTCTGTGTAGAAAATATTTTGTAGCTATATGAGAAACTGAAATTTCAGTATGTAATAGGTAATATTTTCCTGAAACTGCTCCTGGTTTACTGGCTGAGACTATGTACAGCCTAAGAAGGAAAGCATGTGTTTATGCCACTGAAATTAAGATTTCAGCAGAAAGAGACTATATATAAGAAGTACGACGTCTGTTTGTGTAGGTAGACTGTAATACAGCGAACAGATATTTAGAGTAATAGTAATGCGGCTTTGATAAGATGGTAAGGGCACTCATTGCTGTTATGCAGCAGAGCTTTTGAGTGCAGCATTGAAGCCCCTGTTAATTTGCAGTTACTGACTGCTTCCAAGATGTACTGAGGCAACACAGTACCTGAGAACTGACTTTTCCATCCTAGTTTTTTCATTCATCTATTAAAACAATGTAAGGATGTTTGTTGGCGTGGGTGCTTTTCTGTAACATGGTGGTTTATAGCACTTACTAGATTATTCCTTTGAGTTTATCTAGATTAAGATAAGTTTTACTTTGAACAAGGTGGCCATGAAGCATTTTACTATTTTGCGTATCTTCTAAAACTTGAACCATAACTTTTTTTTTCTTTGTTGTCTTAGCTGTAAAGGACCCTACAGCTGTAGAAAGAGCAAATTTGCTGAACATGGCTAAATTGAGTATCAAAGGACTCATTGAATCAGCTTTGAGCTTTGGCCGAACTCTGGATTCTGACTACCCACCTTTGCAGCAGTTCTTTGTTGTCATGGAGCACTGCCTGAAGCATGGCCTTAAAGGTGTGGTAATTGCTCTAGCTGCATATTTCTCATCCCAAACATGCCATTTTTCTTCCTTTCTTTCTTGAATGAGATAATATCGAAGTGTGTTATGTTGCTTTAAGATGTGAATAAAATATGTAAATTCTTACCTTGTATAATGAATAGTGTAATTATTGATATTTCACAACATATATTTCCACATTTACCAACTTTTTCTTTTGTATACCATTTGTTTTAAGTGGTCCTGGAATTAACACAAAAGCATGTATGTACATAACTTATGTTTTCATTAGTCATCCTTTTTATATTATTTTGTTCTAGCACAGCAATTTTATGTTGACAGCAAAGTAATTTGGAAGGTGGACTTGGATACTGGTGGACTGACCAGTGCCGAAGTTATCTGTTAGCTGGAAGTCTAGGCTCAGCAGTTAACCCTTTTTTCACACCAGCTATTTTGAAGGAAGCTATTCCAGTAATAGAAGTTAATTCCATTAATTAATTTTTCTTTTCCTAGTAAGAAAATCCTTTTTAAGTTACAATAAAACCATCTGGGGTCCTCTGGAACTTGTGGAGAAATTATATCCAGAAGCTGAGGAAATAGCAGCAAGTGTCAGAGATTTGCCTGGCCTCAAGTAAGTACTATTGGTAAAATACAGCAAGAAAATGAAGGACTTGACTGAGAATCTACTGATGTCTCATTATTTCATTTGGCATTAATCAAGCCTTTGAACAGGTATCATGTGATATGGTGGGGAGAGCACAGGTGAATCTTGCTGGCTTTTCATGTTCTGCATGAAACAGCTAAAACCTAGTATTTTTATATTCTTTTCTGATGTTCCTGGAAGAGAAGTTTTCTCAATGGTGGACAAAAATGATGCAAAAATGAACAGGTTGTGTATCAAACAGTCTGCAGTCTATAACTGCAGCAAACACGTGAGTCTAGTCAGCAAAGGCTTTATAAAAACAAACGGTAACATACTGAAGAGGAAAATATTAGGCAGCTTTTCAGATTCTTGTGTGTAGAGTCCTTTTTAAATGTAAATTTATGCTATGAACTACAATTTTCTCATGTTCCCCTGCACTCTGCTTTTATGTTTAGTTTCATAATTGGCCATACATTAAATTCCAAAAGGGTTTGCTTACATTGTGATTGGTGTATTGCAGCGTAAGGGCTATAATTTAATAGCTTTAGACTGTATATAAATTATTATTTACTCTTGTATAGGGCCAGATGAAATAATGCCAAGTGTGTTACATTCTTCCTATCCTGATACAGCATGAGGGTTTTGGGGGTTTTCTTGCATTTGTGCTTACCACTTCTAAGTGTGCAAGGACTAGAAGAGGAGGATCTAAAGGTGCAGGTTTAATTTGTAGGATATTACTGTTTGCCAAATATATACATTTTAATCTTTTTTAAATTGTCTTTCTAAGCTACCACTGAATTTGTAAACAAATATGAATTTGAGCTAGAATTCAGTATGTGTTGTGTGGACCCAGAGAATGGGATTGGGAAGGCAAGCTTGCCTGATGAGTTGTAATGGACATTCAGTTATTTTTCTCACAATTCTTCTGAAGGCTTTATAAGCAAGTTGCAGAAAGGAGTCTGAATTGTTGCAGATGTTTTACTTCAGCTAGAAACAGGACTGCCAAGATTTTCTTTACAGGCACTGTCAGGTTATGAAGTGGTACTTAGAGGAAAACAGCACCACTCTTAAAAGTTCTTTCCATGCTGCTGGCTGCGTACTATGTGAGATCCTGCTCCGGCAGGGGGATTGGACTGGATGATCTTTCGAGGTCCCTTCCAGTCCCCAACATTCTGTGATTCTGTGAACAAAGGACATTGAAATACAACACTGTATAGAAACTTGCATGTTTTCACTCTCTGAGCAAAACAGTTAATTTTACTGTCAGGCTCTTGTGCTTTCTCTGTTCCTCTTCTTTCCAAGGTCTGCTCCCAAGCCCAGCTGAGTTGATGAAATTTTTTCTATTATCCCAAAACTTGGAGTTAAAGCCTAGACATTATGGCTTCCCAACTAATAGTTTAAAATACCTTTTCAGAAATACCAATTGCTCTAGCAATAGACTGGTAACATGTTTAAGACAGTGAATTAATTGATATATTGTTGATTTGGACTGGTTGTCTTCATGCCCCTTTTTTCAGAACACCACTGGGCCGTGCCCGGGCCTGGTTACGGCTAGCACTAATGCAGAAGAAAATGGCCGACTATCTTCGCTGTTTAATTATTCAGAGAGATCTTCTCAGGTAAACAATTGAGTAGATTTTGTTTATATTTTATTTTTAGAGGTTTAGTCTCCTGAAAAAAAACCCAAACCTTCTATTTACTGTTTTTTAATGTATCCTTAGCGTAGCAAGGTGTAGCTTCTGGCCTGTGGGCTGATATTTCCCAGTCCTCAGAGCAGAGGGACCAAACACCACTGCCTCATCAAGATTGAGGGTCATCTGACGAGTGAAGAGATGTTTCCTCCCCATCGTGTAGGTGGGCCTTCTGCAACGTGCTTGGCTGTCCTTTCACAGATGAGGGCAGTGGGGAAGGGCTCCCGCTGCATTCCTCCACCATGCAGAATATGGACTAGAAACCTCTGGAGAGGAGATAAATTCACCCCTACCGTATGTGTGGTTTCCTACTGAGCTACCATTGCGTGGAGGACTATCGCCTTGAATTTTCATGTCCTTTCACAATTCTAAAACTGGCATTGCTCTCTTCTAGTATAACCTTTCTGATAGGGTAGTTGAAGTACAAAGGGGAAAAAACCCCTTGTAATCTTAATTTTAGTTTTATGACCTATACAAATTTTTAAGACTTTTCTCGTATGCCTAGATAATGCTGGTGTCAGGATGACATTAGTGTTCAACAGCTGTGGACTTTTCCATTGAAATCACAATTTGTTTCATAGAGTCTAAAACTTTATTTTAAAAATGCAAGGAGGAGGGAGTAAATGCTGATATTCTGTTGCTTAGTGGAGAGTTTTTCTTTTAAAAACCTTTTTAGCATTTGTTTTTCTCTTCTCTTATCCATTTAATCACTTACTTGGCTTCCTTAATTTCAAGCATGTGTTCATTAAAGTCCAAACCTTTTTTCACACAAGGTAATTTTTTTACCATTCTTCTTTTGCATTCTCTAGTGTTTCTTAACATAAGAATTGTCTGATGCAGTGTGGTCGAACATCCATCTGTTGCAGTATCCTATTCAAAAGCGGCTAATAGCAAGTGTATAGGGAAGAGCCTCTTTTTTTTTTTTTTTTTCTTTTTTTTAAAAGGCAAATTAAGTCTTGCTCTCCAAATTTCCCAGCCAACTTGTGGCTCAGATTTCTGGAGCCAAAGGTAGTGTCTTTGTTTTTAATAACCTCCGAGACAAACCTTGCACTTTCAATTTTTAAATATTTGTGAGGTGAAAGTATGGTAGACCCAGTTCATCTTTAAGGGTGTTGGAATAAGGCTAGAATAAGAGTAACAATTCAGATTTAGATGTTACTTATTATTAATTTATTGCATGTAAATATACAGCATATACCAATAAGATGCAATTTTCTTCTTTAACAGTGAATTTTATGAGTATCATGCATTAATGATGGAAGAAGAAGGAGCAGTTATTGTTGGACTATTAGTTGGGTTAAATGTGATAGATGCCAACTTGTGTGTGAAGGGAGAAGACCTAGATTCACAAGTAAGTCATTACAGGTAAAGTAATGTACGTGCAATCAATAAGATTTTTAGGTACAGTGAATTTTGTTACTATGGAGTTGTGACTTGTTTGAAATCTTACTGGAGCCTGTTTAGGGCGTGGTCTTGCTCCTGGATCAGTGGGGCTGTTGCATTAACCTCAGTTCAGCTGGATCAGACCTTTAGATAGTGAAAATTGTCGGAATGCAAGGGTAAAGTTTTATGCTTTGTCATTAAATGGATGCAATAGTAGCAATGCAGAGTTCTTTCCATTTTAATTGCGTAACTTGTCCCTTTGCTTTGCGGGAGAGGTACAGTTCCATGATCAGTTTATCCCGTTCAGTTCCTTTATTGTTGTTCTGGAACATGACAGGAATGTGTCAAGGACATGAAGCAAAAACTTGCTTCTCATAGTGTAATGAAAGACCTTATAAGAGGGAGAATGCTTTCAGTCTGCAAAACAAGACTTGGAATTCTTTCTTCTTTGCAAACTGCTTTGACTTTGAACTCTGATCTTTTCTGCGAGAGCGACGAATCACGGACTCCACACAATTCAATGTGAATCCAACTGGAGACATTTATTATTGGTTACACTATCACTTATATACTCTTAAGCTGCTAACACACACACACACACACACACACACACACACACAAACAACTCTTCATTGGCTAAAAGCTGCTGTTCCAAGAAAATCTTGACGGACTCTTTTTAAAGGCAGATGCACAAGTGTTTATAAATAAATGTAGGCTGTGTCGAGCCCTGATTATTTTTTGTCCAGCTTATTTGTGGAAAAAATCATAATAGTTTAAGTTGGCAGTGTTTGTTTTACCATTGGATTTGATGATCTTAAAGGTCTTTTCCAACCTAAGTGATTCTAATAGAAACAAACAACTGTATTTCAGCATATATTTGGTGAAGAAGCAATTTCTATGGCAAAGAGAAATTGAAATACTTTTGTGAAGAGCCTGCTAGGGACCAAAAAGGAAGGCTTTTAGTAAAGCAAACATGGTTAAATATTTTTGTTAGAGGCTCATTAATAAAGTTGGAAGCAGAACTCATGGTAATGTTATTTATAGTATACATGATTAAATTACAATTGAATAGAAAATAAATTAATTAGGTGCAGATTTAGAAGGGTTAAAAAATGAATGCAGTTGAGGTGGCACACCTAGGAATCAGCAGGCATGGAGAGGTAGCATTATTTGGCAAGGAATGTTGAAAAGAGCTAAGCATGGGTGAAACATCTGTTTGGCGATGTGCTGTGATAGGAAATAACGTGAAACACTACAGATAAATTATCACAAGTCTGCTCGATCAGTGATAGGGTTGAGCAGTATCTGATAATTCCCCAAATGAAAGTCTTCCTGTAAATTCTTGGCTAAGCTCAGTCAGAAGTAGGAAGTAGTATTTTCTTTGGAATTTGGTACATGGCACATTGTTAATTTTGTTACAAGTTAACATAATTCTTAATAAATATGTGAGACTACACTTAAAAAAAAAATCTTGTTTAAAATGTTATGATTTATTTTTTTGAGCTTCTGGCTGAAACTGGACGAATCTTAAAAAAGATGATGTAACTGAGGCTTTAGTAATTATATAAATACAGGACCAGGAATATCAGCAGCAGTTAGTTGCATGATATGAAACTACGTATATTTGCTTTCCCCTAGGTTGGAGTGATTGATTTCTCTATGTATTTAAAGAGTGATGATGACATTGGGGGTAAGGAAAGGTATGTCCTCACCAAATGCTTCAGATTTTGCATGTTAACAAATGATTTTTTTGGTTGGTGCCCTGTTCTTTGTAGAAATAAGTCAGATTTCCCTAAAGAGGAAGTCTTCTGATCTCACTGCCTTGAGAAAAATGGCATGCTACATTGTTCTGTATTACTAGTTAGCTGGGAGAATATTTGCACTCTGAAGTGAACCTCAGCAACATCACCTGCTTCCTTTACCTGATGGATAGTATTGGAGGATACAAGATGGCAATGAAAAGGAACCTGCTACCCTTTAAGCCCTCAGCTTGGAGTTAGTCAGTTTCAAAGAACCAGAGTTATGGCAGAGTGAATAAACATGCTCTTGCTTTTGAGACTGTATATGATGTTTTTAAGTTTCCTGAAGAGAAATTGTTTGGGTACTGGGATTTTTTGTCTCTCACTGATGTCACAACATGTAGGTTATTGATTTAATGATTATGAAATGAAATTGCTTCCTTTCTTTTTAAAGGGCACAATTAAGATGGGCATTTGCATGTGATGGATAGATATGTGTATATTTTCAGTACATAGTTCACTACATCATTCTGTTAAAGCTAATTTTAATATGTGCTTGCTTTAGAAATGTACAGATTGCTGCAATTTTGGACCAAAAGAATTATGTTGAAGAACTAAACAGACAGCTGAAGTAAGTATTACTTTGAAGTATGCATTTCAGTCCAGGCTTACAGGTAAAACACCTCTAATTTATTTTGTACCATAGCTTTGTGAGAGAGAACATGAGAGAGAAAGGGGTGCAAGTTTTTCATGTTAAGACTGAGGATGTAGTGAAGTTGGAAAGGATACACTCTTCTGGAGAGGCTTAGGGAGTCTTAGTGTTCATGCTTTTGTTTTTCACAGTCAGAACCTTTGTTCTTCAAAGAAGTGAAAAACAGCAGGCCAACACCAGTGAAGGTCCTCACGATTCATAACTTCACAGGAATGAAAAGCTTAATCTGGATTTTAACTGCATTCTATTTAACAATTTTCAAAAAAATATTATTGAGTGTTCTAGGTGAATGCATGTATTTTTGTTCCTTTGCCTTTCATAATATTTTAGTTTGTAGTTTCAGTGCCTGTGACCAAAACTGAATAGGTTCATTGCTTGCTGGAAAATACTTGTACATTGTAGGTTGTGGTTCCTCTAGAAATAGTTTTCAGGAAAGGAGCCTTTCTCCCTTACTTTGCTGAATGGAGCAAACCTAGTCCACCGCTGCATGTGTTACTGTACAAATAGAGGAACGGTGCTTGTAATTCTCTGAGGAGTAAACAGTGCGAGGAGGTAAAAAAGAAAAAAAAATGAACCCACCAAACCCACAAAGAAATTCTGTAGAATCTGTAGTATAGCTGATTTTCTTGATTCCTTTTTGAGATGTAATCTTATTTTTAAATTTTTAATGCTGGTAATCTTGATCATTAGTTACTGTATGGCTACTGTTGGGGTAAGGATATTCTGATTTGAAATTGTGTCAGTCACTGAGCAGAAACCTTTGACAGGACAGAATAACTGAGTGCGTGAGATATGAGCAAAATGAAAGTAAGTTGAGGAGAAAGGAACTATCACAATTAAGAATAGCGGTGTTTGTGTGATGATAGCTGTCATCGTTCAGGTGAGCCTCTGTGTATTGAGTATATTCTTGTACGCTGGTTTGTGCATAGGCTTACTTGCAAACCAGTGGTTCATCAACTCTTCTATTTTATTTCAGGTCAGCTGTTAGTTTGCACACATCCTCAAATGCATTAATATCTACCTTGCCATTCTTAATGAACTGGTAACTTTTGAGGATACCACAGTAGAAACACATGGGAAAGTAAATGGTGTTACAGAATAGAGTTGGTTTTTGTTTTTTGGGGTTTTTTTCTATGTGTGAACTGCAGCCTAAAAAAATGTGCTTACAGCAGAAGTAGGCAAATCAGGTAATGGAGAAGGTCTGGATGTAGTCTGTTTACAATGAAAAAACAGAGGGCAATAAAAGGGATAAAATTCTGTTGATGAGATTTATAAATGAAGTCAAGAAGCATCAAGAAGGAGGTAGTCTGAGGATAAATCTCAAAAAATGTGGAGAGGCAAATAATTTTATAAAATAAATTGATTTTGGAGGAAGAGAACCAGGAGAAGTTGTTATATGGGAGGGGAAAAAAACCCAAAAAGATTATAAACTGTCTTTTAAGGAAACTCATTAAATGTTTGGATACAATATAGTTGTGAGTATAAAGGAAAGGGAGAATATGTGTAAAGTCGCAGCCAGCCAGGGGTTTGAGTGACGGATGACATTGGGAGTTGGAAAGAAGTATATAAATGTTCAACAAAAGAGACTAATTTTCCTATATTTAGGAAAACTTCAAATAATGGGATCAGATCTTTTTGTACTTAACCATTAATCATTGTACCTTGCAGTAAAGCTTTTGAGCTTGGTTGAATTACATCAAAAATGTAATTTTGAATAATGTTTTTTCATTTTCTCTTTCAGTAGCACAGTTAGCAGTCTACATGCAAGAGTTGATTCACTGGAGAAATCAAACACTAAGCTGATTGAAGAGGTATTTTTTTTTTTTTACTAATGTATAATAGATATTAATTACTTTCAAACATTACTTTTCTGAATACGTACATTATTTTAATCTATATAAGTTCTGTATAATATGTTCAGATACCTTTATTTTGGCTTGAAGAAAAGGTGCAGTAGCTGCAGGAATTTGAAGTCAGCTTGCCTAGGTAGCCCACAGCATCAGAAAATGAATTCTGTAGAGCATCACCATTTCCCACTTTGGACAAAACCAGAAGAGAAGCCTGTCTTAATGCCAGCTGTCAGTCTGATTTTGTGCAGTTGACTAGTCCATAATGGATGACACCAGTTACTACAAAGAGACAGAAAGTAGTTCACCAAGCAGTTTTTGTTACTGTTCTCAGCTTTAGACAAAGAATTGTTTCTTGCTTTTTTACGGTATGCTTATATACAGTTTTTAGAGATGTCTAGGTCTGGTTTTATATTTATATCCTGTATTTTCAGTTATCTTTGATACTTCACTAGATTCTAATATATTTAGCTTTATAAGAGAGAACACAATTTTTTTTAATCTGAGCTACTTGAGAAATAGTTAATGAAATGGAAAGTTGAAATGTCTAAATTCAGCTGTTGAAGGGATAGCTAACTTACTCTGGCTGTTAATGTATCCAGAGAGAGGAAAAAGATTTTTTGTGAGTTTTACTTCTCAGAGTATTCTGGTTCCTTTACAAGCCTTCAGCCCATCTGTCCACCTATTTTGATCAGCTGGCTTATGATTGTGACATTAAGGCATATAGTACAGGGCTCAGTTATGATGTTTTCTCTTTTGTAAATATGTTTTCTTTTAATATGGGAGAAGTTTTCTTATGTAAATTGTTCCATATGATATATTAAGGTGTCCAAAAAAGAACAAAACTGGATATATTTGAATCCAAATCAGAAGAAGAAAATAAGGATGAGGAAAGGGAATTGAGGGTCATGATGAAGCAATGAAAAGAAAGCAAGTCTTTTACTAGACATGAAATAATGAAGTATCTTGAATATGCATGCTGTTGTGTAATGAAAGTGACTCATTACTAAAACCAGGAGCTTTATGTTTTCTTTAAAAACAATTAAACCTCTGTTTGGTAGACTGTGAGAATAGGGCAGATGATGTCTTGGTCTTGCATTCACTGGGTGGTTTGTTCTTTATTTCCACTCACAAAAGTGGTCACACTACTTTTCCTTTTTTGGTTTGTTTTTGTTTTTTTTCCAGTTAGCAATAGCCAAAAACAATATCATTAAACTTCAGGAAGAAAACCATCAATTAAGGAGTGAAAATACTCTTATTTTAATGAAAACACAGCATCATCTAGAGGTATGTTAGCTTTACCGTATTTCGCATAGTAACATCGTGCGGTTCATTGTCATTCAAATGTTGTTACATTGCAACTTAAAGTAATCAGTAGCTGTGACAAATCTGAAACAACTCTTAAATGACATAAATACATCAAAATTATAGGTCACTATATTATAGGTTCATAACCAGATGCAAATTTTGTATCATTTTTTCCTTGCATTGATTTTTTTTTCCTTTCTTCCCTTTTTCTTCAAACTGTACGCTATATCTAATAGCATTTAAGGCAGTATTATCTGAAAATCTTGTCAAACCAGTGCATGTTTTAATTGGCAAACTGTCTATTCAGACCTGTCTCATTAGATGAAATGTCATTTGGGGTAATTGTATACGGTTGCTAAACTTCTGTTTTAATCTGTGATTTGTAGCTTCTTAGGTAATTTCAGGTATGTGTCTTACAGATAATTGGTAAAAGCACAGGTTAAGCAGGTGTTTGGATTGCTCAGTGCTGAAAGAGATGTGTAGTGACTTACTGAAAGAGGACTGTACTGCAGTACAGTTGTTTATTTTGCTAGATGTACTAAATTCTCATTATAAAAATGATACCCACATAGCAGAAACACCTCTTGCCCTGTTTGTCCTGTGCTTGGGGAAAGTATTTTTAAGCTTTTTTTTTTTTTCCCCACAAGTGTTAAATTTATACTATCAATTGCTAAACTTGTGATAAACAAAGATAGATTCTCTATATCTTTGTAGGCAACTAAGGTGGATGTTGAAGCAGAACTTCAGACATACAAACATTCCAGGCAGGGTTTAGATGAAATGTACAATGAGGCACGTAGGCAGCTTCGAGAAGAATCGCAACTTCGACAAGTAAGTGTTCTTTTCCAGGATTACACAGCACTTCTAGAAAAGATTATGCTTGAGAAGTGTCAGTATATATATATACATTTCTAGTTTTGCTTTTGCTGAGCTTAGGTGCTGCCTTTAATCAACTTTAATTGCCTTTTCTCTAACTGCCTGTAATAAGGCAGTTAACAGAATCACACAGAATCACAGAATGTCAGGGATTGGAAGGGACCTCAAAAGATCATCTAGTCCAATCCCCCTGCCAGAGCAGGAACACCTAGATGAGATCACATAGAAAGGCATCCAGGTGGGTTTTGAATGTCTCCAGAGAAGGAGACTCCACAACCTCCCTGGGCAGCCTGTCCCAGTGCTCTGGCACCCTCACTGTAAAGAAGTTCCTTCTGAAATTTAAGCGGAACCTCCTGTGTTCCAGCTTGCACCCGTTGCCCCTTGTCCTATCATTGGACATCACTGAGAAGAGCCTGGCTCCATCTTCCTGACATTCGTCCTTAACATATTTATAAACATTAATGAGGTCTCCCCTCAGTCTCCTCCAAGCTAAAGAGAACCAGCTCCCTCAGCCTTTCCTCATAAGAACATAATAACCACACATAAGAACTCATAACCACACCCCTTCTAATACACCCCAGGATGCCATTGGCCTTCCTGGCTGCAAGGGCACAGTGTTGGCTCGTGGTCATCCTGCTGTCCACCAGGACTCCCAGATCCCTTTCCCCTACGCTGCTCTCTAGTAGACCATTTCCCAACCTATACTGGAACCTTGGGGTGATATATCGATACATCAATATTTCTGTAACAATGTTGCTAAAGCATGGTGAAGAAAATGCATTTTCTTTGAGAAATTTTTAGGTAAGTTGTTAACAATACTCTGTGGGTATGCTAAATCTTTTTTGTGAAAATGGAAATCCTTTAGTTCAACTTTTGTAATTAATACTTAGGCAACTCTATGCAACGTTGGCAGGGAAGTTTCTTATGATGTGAGCTGTCTTCTCCCAAAGTTTAAAAAAAAAAAAAGTCATTGATCACTAAGTACATGAGGGTGTAATGTTTAATGTAGTGGATAATTTGCAAAGTTAAAGGGAGTAGAAGTTCTGAAGTGGTGAAACAGGTGATGCTGCAGCTCTTTCAGAGGTAGCTTTTGTCTTTTTCAACATAGTGATAAAATGTTGCATAGTTATTTAGAGATTGTGTGTTGCATTGTGTTTGTGTTTTGTAGGATATGGAGAATGAGCTAGTGGTTCAAGTTAGTATGAAGCATGAGATAGAACTTGCCATGAAGTTGCTGGAGAAGGACATTCATGAGAAGCAGGATACCCTCATAGGCCTTCGACAGCAGCTTGATGAGGTTAAAGCAATTAACATGGAAATGTACCAAAAGCTGCAGGTAAAGGAACAGTCTGCTGTTAAACTGATAAAATGACTTTGATTGGAGTGAGAAAGGTGCATTACCATTTTCTTTAGTTAAATACTACTGTTTCCTTAATTTCTCTCTGCTTCTTAGATCAGTTTGTTGTTTTGGAACATTACTGGTGCAATCATGATTTCACACAAAGCAGTTCTTAAGACAGTCACTTAATGTTAGTGTGTTTATAGAAGAAAAGAGCACAAGAATAAGATCATGGTCTAATAACATGCTATGTGGAACAGAGAGAGCGATAGTGTTATCTAGTGAAAATGACACTTTTGGCCCATGTTTTAAAAAAACCCAAAAAAACCCAAGAGAACGTTGGCACCTAGTGAGGAGTTAGAGGAGATCTGAACTTCCAAAGTAAGGAAAAGCATTTGGAAAACAAAATTGTATTAAATGGAAAAAGCTAATTATAGGGTTGGTTTTTTTGTTTTGTTTTGGTTTTTTTTTAATGTGTTAACAAATTAAGAATATCTGTAACATTGCAGTGTTTCTTTGGGAGAATATGGATCTGAGAGACCCAACAAATGACCAAACATCAGGGAAATTTAGCAGCAAATTATTTAAGCAGAACATAGATTTGATTTATGGAAGAAATTATCAAAAACAGCACAAGAAACCAGTCAAATCTGTGCTGGAATGAAGTGAAAAATTATGATGCTGCAAAGAGATAATTGAGATGATGGCCAAAGGGTTCTACTTTTCCACCTGCAACTGTGAGGAAAGTGGACCAGAGGAAGAGAAATATAAGTAGAGCTGGAAGGAAAAATAAGAAAATAATGTTCTTCAGTATGTTAGGATCTGTAGGATTTTTTCTTTTAAAACTGTACTTCTGAGGACTGTGAGTAACACTGATTTCACTTAGTAACATTCAGACCCACTTTGTGGGCAGAGTAAAACAGTTTAATCATGCCTAACCTCTGCTAGGGACCAGTTGATAGTATTGGTCTGTATAGCAAGCTGTGGTTGTAACAGCTCTGCAAACAATCAGAATTGTGAAATATGTTAGTAAAATTCCTAAAAGATTTTTAGGTGTGTATGGCAGGTTTATAAGAGTTGGAGAACCTTAGGCATTTCTGGGACTAAGCATCTTAGCTCTTTATTGGTGAGGTTCTGATGAGCTACTTAAAAAGATGATCAGCGAATTTAAGTTGACTTGCAAAATGATTAACTAAGAAAGGAAACCAAAATGAAAAATATATACTTATTAAATAGCATCTACACTGGCAAAGTACAAAACTACAGATTTGCTAGGCATAAAAATTTAAGTACTGTCAACTACATTTTTTAGATGTGAATATTTAAAAAGAATCAAAACCTGAAGCCATTTTAACATTTTTCCCTTCAGATATTGAAGAAAAAAACCTGATGAGGTAAGAGTGTAATATATACCTTCAATTCTAACCTTTTTTGTAACAGGTTTCTGAAGATGCTATGAAAGAGAAGAATGAAATAATTGGTCGGTTAGAGGATAAGACCAATCAAATTAATGCAGCTATGAAACAACTAGAACAAAGGTACAGACCCATCTTTGTTTTTCTTCATTCGTTTCTCCATCCCCTTACATTTTACTGCATTCCTTCACAGTTGCCACTGAAATGTAACTTCCAACTAGAAAAACCATGCTGAAACCTTAACTAGTACTTCAACGTTTGATTTTTTTTTTTTTTTTTTTAACAAATACACTTATTTTAGATACAAACTTAATCTTTCATTTTTCTTCCTCCACCATCTTTATTTTGGTCCTAGGTTTTGTACTGATATCAAAAGTTGTTCTTTCAGATGTTTCAAAATTCTGATTCATTTTTGCCTCTTTTTTTTTTCCCACCTGAATGAAATGCAATAGAAACCAAAGCATTAATCTTGCTTATACTTAAGCATGTGCTTAATATAAACATTTAATGCCTTCATGGATCACTGCTGTATTTGCTGAAGCTCTTAAAATTGTTGTCCGTTGCTTTGGAAGTACCACTATTTTCAATGATATACTGAGTTTGTACGTTGAGAGGTTGAAAAGTGAAAGACTCAAATTCCAGCACATTTTTACGTAATGATTAGACTGCATGTATTACATTGTATTAAAATGTGATTCACATGTTTTAATTTAGTGGCCTATATGCAACATTGATCTTTTTAATTGTAAAATAAAACATGTCCATAAGCCCTGTCATGTTGATGTTTGACATGTCTTTTTTTTTTTTTCCATTTAAATCTGATTATGAAAAACATGGTTATGTATTAAAAAAAATAGTGACATGAATATTCCTTTATTGACATCCTTTTTTCCTCTTTTTTCTTTTTCTTTTTATCCTTTATCCCAATTTTTGTTTTTACTATTTTGCTGCCTCCATCTGTCTTTGATTTTTGTCCACTGCATTCATGAAGTGACAAAGATCTGTTAACTCAAACTAGGACTATTGCAATGTCATTCATCAAATGTGTTAGCAATGAAGCTCAGCACCAGTATAAACTTGTCAAAGATATATCATTCTGAAAGCTCCTCCAGATCTGCTGTGTTTAAATAATTCCTGATAAAATACACCTTAAGAATTTTAAAATTACAATTTGAATATAAAGTGGTATTAGAAATCCTGCACTGTAACTGATCGTAGCTGGGTTCTGTTTTGTTTTCTGAAAGAACATCATCTCCGATCTCACTTTACCCCTCTTAAAAAAAAAAAAAAAAGGAAGTAAATTATTGCACTATTATTAAGCAAATATAAGCTAGTTTTCTAATGCTATTTAATCACTTCTTAATTGTGAAACGAAGTTTATTTTAAAAGGTCAGCTATCACACTTTACTTTGGCTGTACATTTTTATGACATTTGTTTCTAATCTAGTGATTTTTCCTATTCTTTATGGTACTCATAGGTTTAGAAAGCAGCTCTTCTGACTAATACTTCCCTTCTCCCCTGCTTACTTCTTTCACTTTTAGGCTGTATTTACCCCAAAAGTATGCTCTCTGTTGCATTTTTTGGTCATAACTAGCACTGCTTTCTTAAACAGCGTGACAGGAGGTTGGAGAAAGGGGGGTTGAGTGCTATATCAGAACCATATATTTAAAGAAAGAGGATGCTGTCAGCATGTATGTTCAGTATGTGCAGTGGAAGAATTGCAGAGTTTGGGGATAAAACAGCTAAAGCACAATTCCATTTTGCTGATGTGACATGGGGTGAACTGTTTTCACGTAGTTGAAATGTGTTTGGAGCCTGGTCTTGGATGAGGCTCCAGAGAGGCAGGGCTCTAGCAAATTCTGTAGCTGTGACTCCTGCCCCATGATAGCTAAAGTGGAAGTTGTAGTAATAAGTAGGATTTACATTCAGGGCCCAGATCCTGAACTTGTGTAACTTGTTTGTCAGCTAAGGATCTTGCCTGTCTGTGGCTTTGTCTACGCTATAATCATAACCTATGGTTTTGCCAGACACCTTTTCCCTCTCTCCACCCACCATTAGGCAGTCTTTACAACTTACATTTCTGCTTTGAGTTTCTGCTTGATTACACTGCAGAAATAAGAGAGTTTTAGCTACTGACTACCCTTGATACGCTTCCTACTGTTTGCTCTGAAGTGTGGTGGGGAAATTGACTGGGAAAAGAATCCTAGAGTCTTTCAGCAGAAGGGGATGTGTTTGCAAAAGTGGGGGGCGGACACAATAATACAGAAGGGGTTTCTACTCAATGATTCTGTATTACCTTATTCCTTGGTTTGGAATCAGAAAGAGCCTTTAACATGGGCTGGCTACTAAAATATAAAAATAAATCTTCCATCCTCAAAGAAAACCCAAACCAGAAACACTGAAGAAAACAACAGGTAGACCATAGCAGAAATGGGAGTGTTAACTATCTCACGGTCATCTTAGCAAACAAGTATCTTCCTCAGTATCACGTGAATCACAAATCTTGCTGTGGTCTCAGTCCAGCTCTGCATTTGTCTGAATTACAGTGGTGCAGTTAGCCCTGGTGCTAGTCTTGAGGATGGTGCTGTAGCTTAGGTTGCCTAGCATGTTTCTTGGGTAGCAGGCTGCCTTTCTATGTTGGTTGTGGAAACTACACTGCAGTTTAATTTGTGATTTAGGGAGGGGTTTAACTTGCTTTTGGTGTTATTGTCTTGTGTAGCTTCATTCAGCTTCTTCTGCCCAGTGAATTGACCGTGCTTTTTCCCAGTATTCTCCTTTCCATACATGTTCTGGCCCTCTGTGCACCACCATTGCAAATAGAGCTGGGAACATTCTTAAAACAACTGGTATGGTTGAATGAGATAGTACACACTTTATAAGGTAGTTTAATTCCAGTCTTTTTTCAATGTTTACTGGCAGCTTTTGGAAACTCCTGCTGGTGCAACTTCATCAGTAGAAGCACAAATGTAGATATATTGCTGACTTAATTTCTTTTCAGCTGACATTGGGAGTTGTGAGTTACTCTGCATTCAGCTAGCTGCTGGAAAATGTGAACAAGCACAGAGAGTATCCCAGATTTCTCTCACCACTTACCTGAGGGGCCCTTGAAACAGTTTTGTTAAAAATGGTGCAGCAGGTGGGGATGTTCGGTGGTATTTTACAGGCTCTTTTACTCTCCTGCCTTTTCATCAAGACGGATGTAGCCAGGATATAGCACAACTTCCATTTTAGTAACTTTACCTTTGTTACATTACATCCACCTTTTGTTGAAAAGGTGAAGAGTGAACTAATGGACTACTGGATTCCAAGGGGAACTGCTAGCTGAAGCAGAAACAAACCCCTAGATTTCAGAAAGGAAAGATTAAATAAAATACCAGTCCCTCATTTCTTGATTAATTGGTTTTATTTATTTTGTCTATAGTATGGAGCTATTTTAATCAGTGTAAGAATGCATTATTTTTAATACAGATTATTTAAGTCAATAATATGATGTAGTTGAGGTAGTTCTATACATGTAGGGGGACCTGCCAGGGTATGTCTTGTTGTATTAGGCTAGTTAAGTTCTTCTGCTGTCTGATTGCAGTGCCCTGTATTCAGCTTTAAGCCTGAATTCTTTCGAGCTGCTTTTGCACAACACATGCTCTGCCTTTTCTTAATGGGTTATTAGTACAAGCCAAGTACTTTTATAGGATTTATTTGGGGAAGGGGGAAAAAAGCTTACAAATATAACACATGAACTAAAGGGGGAAAAAAAAGTGCATTGAGGTATATGCTTCAGTTCTAAAATGTGTATCATCATGCTTTGGCATCTGTTATTCATGAGCATAAAATAAAACAGTGATTGCTTACAGTGATTACTCTCTTACTGTATGAAAAAACAGGAGCTAGTTCTCTAGGCATTGTATGGATTTCTTGTTTGAGTTTTGTGAGTTTCCCCCAAACTTTGTTTTTATTTAGAAATGTTTCTATTTCCCCATTTTTCTTTTATTTGTCGTCTTCACCCTCTACACCCTAGTTCTAGCTTCAGTTTTACCCAAAGTTGATTTGAATTACACCAGATTGCAGCAAGCAGAGAAGGCCCAAATGGAGGCTGAGGCTGAGGATGAGAAACTTAAACAGGAATATGTGAATAAATCTGAAAGTCTGCAGAAAGAATTCTCCCAGAAGGAGAAACAGCTGTAAGTATGTCTTTCCTATTTGGAAAAATATGCAGTGGTAAACATTCTACATTGCAGTATGTCCTGTGTCTTAATACAAACTGGTTGTTGATAAATGGTTTTGAACAGAAAACTACTGTTTTACTAATTTACTGAAGATCTTCATGTTAGGTACTGGCCAGGTGGAAGAAAACATGCTATTCCAAGAAAGCTACCTTTGGGTGCCTCTCAAATGGTGTGCAGCTTGAAAGGAGGGGGAAGAACTGCATTATTTATTTATCTAGAAGTGCCAGCTTAATTCATGAGGGAATTACCATGAGTGGGGGAAAATATGTAGCGTAGTAGTAGTAGTAATACACACTTTTAACAAAACCTACAAGTATGTAGTAGTATGAACTTAAACAGAAATGACATATGAATAGTTTAATTGATCACGCTTGATCTGGATTGATAAGGTGGAAGTGGTTTAACTTAACGCTGTGCAGGAAATGAAAAATAAAAATCCACAGGAATAATAAATATTAAAAAGTAATATAAAAGCCAACCCTCTACTGTTTCTCCTATCAAATCCTTCAGTACTGATTTAAATAAATATGTACTGTAAAAAGCTCCCTGTAAGGGCAGGTATTTTCCATATTTGGAAAGATAACAAGTAAATAAATTTAAGACAGTGTAATCTTTGGCACAACAAGGATTGAGGCTTAAAAATTAGTGATTTCCAATCCAATTATTAGCCCACCCTGCCTCTCTTACAACTCTGAATGTTAATAAACTTGTTTAACTGTCATGACAAATATTTACTTTACTACCACAGTCATCTTTGCAGATTTTGGCAAAAGAACAGTTCAGACCTCAGCCTTAGAATTCTGCAATTCTGAAACCTCAAGGTCATGTTCACTTCTGATCTTTTCCAGCCAGATGCTGAGGTAGTGTCCCAAAATGTAAGTCTTTACTTTAAAAATGGTTTGGTTTTAAAACAGGAAAATTAATATGGATACAGGCTTTCCATCAAAAAACCTTGCATGACTATACTCAGATTTTTTCCACTTTCATTGTGTTGGCACAGTTTATATCTAGAAGGTTGAGCAGTGTGCTTCCATCCTTTGGTTTCTCCGTAACATTGTAAATACCAACTCTTCCATGAAACTGATAGTGAAATTCCAGCTAGAGTGGATCTTCCATCAGAGTAGCCCTTATTCCTTCAACTGGACTCCAATTAAACTAATAGAATTTAGATCCCTCTTTATGTTGAACCTCAGCTATGTAGCAAGCTCAATAAAAATAGTAAATTAAAGTCCTTCCTCCTTTATTTTCAATTCTGTTCAAAATGCCATAAGCCTTGGTCTAAAATAGAAGATTCACATCTGAGGGTATAATATTAAATAACTTCTGGGAGCACCAGAGATCTACGCAATCATTGTCTGCATCACCAATGGCAATGTGGTTGGGGGGTTGGTTTTATTTTAGAAAGAAGCTATGGAAGGTTAAGGGGGCTTTGCCTTATGCATGTTTTAAAAATACTTCAAAATTTTGTGGTTTATCTTCTCTTGCTCATTTATTACAAAGGTCAGCTCTTCAAACTTATGCCATATTCTCGGTCCTTTAAGTACACTTCTTTTAAAAAGCATTTTCTAAGTGGCTGTGTTTTATTTATTACACTGATGTCTAAAATATTATGATATTGATACACATTTTCTAAAACAGAAATAATGTAAGTCGATGATTGGTTTGTTGTCATAATAGTATATTGCACCCAGAAATAAATTAATTTTTGTTTTTTTTAACAATGATACTCTTGTGCACAGTGATTTTTGTTTGTTTTGCATATTCTAGGCTTCAGCTGGAAACAGATTTGAAGATAGAAAAAGAGTGGCGGCAAACCTTAGAGGATGATCTTCAAAAGGAAAAAGAAACCGTATCTCATCTGAGAATAGAGACCCAAGAAATAATTAATCTCAAAAAAGTAAATTCTGCAGTAAAACTTGACTAGTAATTGATTGCAAAGTTAGTTATGGACTTAGACATGATATTTTTAAGGATTTCTGCAAGTGGATAAAGATTAGATTAATGTATTCTCACAAATAGATTAAGAAAAAAATAGGAGTTTTTTACTCTGCATTTAGTCCTCAGATCAGAACTCGGTGCTTTGAATAAGGAAAAATGAAATCCTTATTTTCTTTTCTCAGTGGTACTGAACACTGTCCTGTCGTCGTACGCCAGAAAGCGCTTCAGCCTCTCTCTGACTTGGTGTAGATGGCTGTATGGTGGTGTTGATCTCTGCAATCAGTCGTTTTTATTTTCTTCCCAGGAAGACTGCAGAAGCAAAATGCTTCATGTCTTGGAGTCTTAACAGAGTTTAATCCTGCGTTGTTGCTGTTTGAGTTGGGTTTGAGAATTTTAATAGAGTGTGATGGATCATTCCTTCACTTGGCTTTCTCACTAAGATCACTTCTGGGTAGCAGCAGTTTTCTAGGCTGCAAGGAAATACAATTTTAAGAATAATTGGGGTTTTTTTTGTTTTTTTTTGTTTTGTTTTAAGGAGTTCCTTAAACTTCAGGAAAAGAACAAACAACTGAAAAGGATATGTCAAGACCAAGAGGCTGCTCTCCAAGAACTGGCATCCAAGCTGAGCGAGTAATTTTGTTATTCATTATGATGATTATTTGTGTTATATAAACTCGAATTAAGAAAAATAATAGGATGATGGTCATGTGAATTAGTCTGTATATGACATATTACCTGGCCAGTTATCAAAAAGAAGTATGTCTAGTGAGGTCAGGTCTGTTTATTTTCATTTTTGGCTGGTAGGCTGGCTGTGAACTCATGGGTAATTGTAGTGCTCTGAACAGAAAATCTTAGTTTAAAAGCACCTGGGGGCATTAGGAGTTGTTTTGCGTTGAAAACGGTTGGCTAGTTTACACGTTGTGGCATTCCCAAAGAAGAACCCAAGTAGAAGATAACAGCTCTGGCTGCAGCAGGACAGTGCTTATCTTTTTGTGAAGATGCATGCTCATGGATTCCTTTCTTGGAAGAGATGAGGATTCTCTGTATGACAATCGCAGGCCGCTGTTGCTGAGTCTGTAGAGGATATAAGGGATTACCTTATCAAAACCCCTTCAGGCTACAGTAAGCAACAAGCTCTGAGCACAGCTCTTGCTGTACGTGTTGTTAAAGTTTCATTTAATGATCTCTGTCAGATTCTAAGTAGTTTTGCCATAACTAGTGTGGACTTTTATGCCCTGTGGAATGACTTAGTATGTATACTGTGACTCAGTTCTGAGTGGGTTGGCACTGGATGGCTGTGGGGAGACTGGTTTTGCCATAATGACATAATATGGTCTTGTGCAAGTCCAGAATTTAAATTCTGGTTTTGTACCAGCACTGTGTGCTAGCTTTAGGTATTTGCACAGAGCTATGCTGGTACAAATTTCTCTTATCCACATAACCCCAAGCAAATTTACAGCCATGCAGAGGATTCTGAGCTCTTTGGAGAAAACTTTGTCTTTGTATAGTGCTTAGTACAGCAGGGTGTGATATTGATTGCATCTCCTGGATGCTGCTGTAATCTAAAATACTAACTAAAAATTCAGAGTACTTTGCTTATAATTTTTAAAATGCCAACAACTTTTAAAGTTGTTAGACCGTAACTGACAACATGAAGTTTGAAATAGCATTATCTTCTTTTTTAGATCAAAACTGAAAATAGAAGATATAAAAGAAGCGAACAAAGCATTGCAGGTTAGTAGTATTTGGAGGAAAGAGAAACTTTTTTTTTTTTTGACTGTTCCCTTTCAGATACTTCGTAAGCATGAAAAGACTTCTCTCCAACAGCGACTGTTCAGAAGAGACTCTATAACTTCCTCCAGTGGGAGAGAACCACAGACTCCCTGTAACCTTGTCAGGGAAAAAACATACACAGTCACTTTTGATTTTTCTTGTTTGATGCACAGCCATGCATTTTGATACTTTTCTTGCAATGGTATGCCCTTCTTTATTTTACCAGGTGTTTCTGGGACAGAATATGTAGCCAACTGAGCTTAAATTATATACTACTTCTCAGTGATTAATAAATACTTGATAGTCCTAGGAATTAAGTAAACTTGTAGCACCAAAGCTGATCAGATGCGATCTGTAACGTTGAGAGGTTTGGAACTTCCTTAGAGTTAGGCAGGGAGCCCTTGAGAGCAGGGATTGTGTCTGCACATGTTTGATCACATGGTATGTTACCTTGTGTATTATTTCGGTCCAAGTAAAGGTGTGTGAAACAATTTTGTTGAGCAGATTCCTGTTTTTATTAATTGATTTAGCTGCAAGGAAATTAACAATTCTTGTTAATGTTAAAGCTCTTGACGCTGTCCTGTTGTTTTTGCTTCCCTGCATCTTGGGGACTGATCCTATGTGCTGGGCAGGGAAATAGGCTTCTGCTCTGAGTCTTGGATACCTTTCTGCTTTTCCCAGCTCAGCCACTGATCAGCTTTACTCCCTTGAGCATGTCACACCTATTCCTGCTCTGTCTTGTCTCATAAGGTTTTGCAGTGTTTTGGAGAGGATTTAGAGTGTCTTTGTGACATTATACTGGTCTCAGGGCATTAAGCAATTTGGCAGTAAATGTACTGTCTTTTTTGTCTTGTCCCCTGGAACCCAAAGTTTAACTTCAACATAATACATACAATTATGGTACTTTTTTTTTTCCAGGGCCAGGTTTGGTTGAAAGACAAAGAGGCTACACATTGCAAGTTATGTGAAAAGGAATTTTCTCTTTCCAAAAGGAAGGTAAAACTTTAATGACATTTCTTCACTTGTTTATGTGTATTATGAGAAAAACATAAATTATCTTAGAGGTGCAGCATGGAATGTCAACACAGATGAATGCATAGTTATTTTTGAGATGTCTTTCTAATTCTTTGATATGTACCATGCAGCTGGGCCCTAACTTCAAAAGAAACGCTGCCTTTTGGTGAAGTGCCACAAAGGATCATACCTAAAATTATTCAACCTACTTTGTGGAATCATTACCTCCAGTGCTTTTCAGCTCTGGCACTGTTAAGATTTGACACATGGAAATCTTTTCATGGCATTTTTTATAAAAAAGACTAAGAAATTATGAGTGTATTGAAATTTTAACATAAAATGTGATGTTAATTTCCATGCTTTATTAATGTGTGCAGGAATTTTTATTTTACCTTTTTATGTCAAATCTCAATTAGCTGCCTGACAGAATCGTCCACTCTCTTGAGTATCATTGCTTATATTTTTATATAGCAGAGTGTGTTCTTAATCCAGGAATTGAACAAAATCTGCAAGTGTATATTTATATATATATATAAAAAAAAATGATCCTAGACAGACTATCTATCTGTCTAGATAGATAATCTAGATAGTCTACCTATCCTAGACCATGGTCTGTCTAGGATTGCATCATAGGTTGGGATTTAGATTAATTATCTTTAGTAAACTGATTCCATGCTCTGACCAAAGAAGTGGAAGGAATCACATTTCAGACTGCTCTGTGTATGTTATTTATTGGTATCCAATTACTGAATATATTTTCATTGTAATTTTTTTTTTCCTTTTTTCCCCCTCCTCTTCTCCCCATTATTTAGCATCATTGTAGAAACTGTGGTGAGATCTTCTGTAATGCCTGTTCTGACAATGAACTGCCTCTGCCTTCTTCACCAAAGCCTGTTCGGGTCTGTGATTCCTGCCATGCAATACTTATACAGAGGTGCTCTTCTAATGTGCCATAAGATTATCTTACAATATATTTATTACCTTTTGGTATTTAGCTAATCCTGTATAAAGAAAAAAGAAAAAACCCAAACAAACCAACAACTAAAGAATGTGCAGCACTATTTACAGAATTTCAGGTGAGCAGACTAGAGTTGCATTTTCAAGGTACCGTGGAGGAGTTAACTTGTCTGCTTCCCATTGAAACACACAGAAAATGGGACCCAAAGACAGAAAACACAGGTGTTAAAAATACAGGTGACAGTGCTAGTCTAACAGATGGCTCAGAAACTGTTTTGGAGGAAGCAGGTCAGTTGATAGAGGAGACTCAGTGTTAACATGTATTTGATGAGTATCTTAGTCATTATGATGATCTTGAAAAAGATGATACACTTACCTACTTTTACAGGCTAGTCTGCCACAAGTCCCACCTAATTCTGCTGCAGAAAGTGCCTGCCATACGCTGTTGTGAAGCAAAACTGTGTGGTAGCTCATTTTAAATTGTGTTTAAAAAAAGTAATGCAATTACTCTGGTAAGTTATTGCCAAATACCGTATTTGTTTATTTCTCCTCAGTTATCAAGATTTGATACATCCAAGAATATTGCACTGACAGCTCTGTTCTTTGTAGCCAGAGGCGTAAGGGGAGATTTTGTCAGACAGGTAACAAACAGTGGATGAAGGAAGGTGCATTTTGACAAATTATTTTTTTAAATTAGCTATTAATTTCATGTATTTGTGTTTCCATTAAAAGAGATGCCCATCACAAAATTTTTGCCCGATATTGTCTGTAACTTTGAACAATTACCTTTGCATTATTTTCATGTCAGTCATGCTTTGTCAGTCACTGTACAGCTTTCTAGAGCAGTGTGAGTCTGCCACCAAGACAGGCTAGGATGAAATACTGGGGACCACGTCCTTTCTGTGCTGCCTCTCTTGGCTGGGAAGGTTCTTCATTATTTTGTCATCATCTTTCTCAAACTTTCAGAGTTTGTTCCTAATCACTTTTTTCCAGAGCACTTTTGAGTAGGTCTCGGTCTGACCACTCTTCACACTGATATTCTGTGATCACTTCTGCTGGAATGTAAATCTTTATTCTTCCCGTAGGCAAATTCAAGTACATCCTTTGATAAATTGTCCCCACTTCCATGTCACTGCCCTAGAACCAATCTGCCCTCTTCCCTTCAGCTGCTCATGCGATGGGGTCCAGCTGTGCAGTCTCCATGCTCTGGTCAGCAGAATTATCAGCCATGGGCTTGGAATATTCTTACTAACAGGAGCAGTGAGGCTTTGAAACAAGTCTTTTAATTGTTCTTGCACTTTGTTTAGCTTAGAGTTGTCTTCTGAGGATAGGCATTTAGTTAATATTCTAAAATCTAATACAGCTGTTCTTTTTAACAACTCAATGCAGTTGCTTATGTAGCTTTTGTAAAGAAAAACACTTTGAAAACAACCTAACGTAACTTTTTGTAAGATATAAAACAAATACTTGTAAATCTGTAAATAGCTTTTGGAAGAAATAAATATAATTGATCTGCAACTTAACTATGGGAATAATGTCACTTTATTTAAATTTGTAATTCAGAATATTTTGAGTATTTTATTATGACTTGTTGAAGTTGCTTGGAAGGTCTTTGCATGTGTTGGGGAGTGGGGAGCTACCCTGCTTATGCTGTAACAAACCAGGGGCTGCTCATGGGCCTGCTGAAAGTATTCCAAGGGTGTCTTCAGGGGGGCTTTGTGTGGGGCAGCTAGGGAGGCAGCAGGGTTTGATTTGGGATAGAGATGATGCCAACCTGTACTCCTTTAATAGGTAACTTTTCAAAAATTATGCAACTAAACAAAATCAATCATTTAAAATAATATAGTGCATTTCTGTAACATACAGATGCAATAAATTAAATACCTACTAAACTGCAATCTCTTCCTCTCCTCTGTGCTGCCCTATTTCCATGGGAAAATGTCACTGAAAGTAAAACTTCTGCCTTGAACAAAATAGTGAATGCTCTATGTTCTGTGTGGTTTTATTTCCCTTACCCTCAAAGTTCACGCCTGCCCTGCTTGTAGCAGTTTTTTGGACCACACTATCATGACTCCTTTATCTTTCTATAAAACCCTCTTTTTTGACAGACTGTGATTCTAAATCAGCTTCCTCGCATTCTTTTTTCATAGGTTTTATTCTCAGAAACAATTCCTCTGCTATTTAAACACTGCTCAAGTGACTTGACAGGTTCCACATGGAATGCTGCTCTTGTTACAGGGTAAAGCGTTACCTCTGGAGGGGACAGGACAGTCTGAAGGGATTCACTGTCCAGTACAGTGGAATTTCATCCCTCAAGAGTCAAGTTGTGTGTACTTTTTGCAGATAGCTTGGTTATACAAAATAGCTCGAAGCAGAACTCCCAATGTTTAAGCCTTAAACACGTGTTAAGTGTTCCTTCTCATAAAAGGAAGGCAGAGTGAGGAAATGGTACAGAGCTCACAGTATTTTGCAGATCTCTGCTATGCTGATAGATGTGGATGTCCTCTCCCTCACTGCAAGATATTTTGTTCTTGCAACTAGATTAACTCGTCCTGCCCTTTGTCATCTTAGTTTTATAAAGCTTCTTCAACAACAGACCAGGAACCCACTATCTTTTTAGAGCACCAAGTTAAAATTAAGCCCTGCAAAATCACCAGGATTATCATTTCAGGTCCTCGTCCCTCCCCTTCCTATCCAAAAATATTCCAGTCCTTGGAAAGCTTCCTTTGGCAGTTGTTACCCTTTCAGCTATTCTTTCCAGTCCCTTTGACACAAGAACAGACTCTCTAGTGAAATAAACTCCATTCGCCTCTCTCCCACAAAAAGAAGACATTTATTACATATATAACACAGTACTAGCAGAACAGGTGACAGACTTTCAATACCCAAGATCACATTTGACATTGTAAGGGAGGCACTGAAGTACAAAGCAGTTAATTTGGGAGATCACACTGGCTCAGAAGAATAAATACCTTTTTTCATTACACATCAGATATGTCAAGTGTCTTCAAACAATAGTTTCTTACATATCTTACATGTCACAAATGCACAAAAATTTTATCAATGTGTTTGGGTTGTGTGTTACTTAACAAGTACTGGGCTTAGTTTTTTAGATACTTTGCTTCTAAGGAGCTCATCCATATGAGACTTGTCAAGTTTTGAACAAATACAGACAAATCAGCTCTGTGCAGAAAAAAAAAGCTGAATGTTTAAATACAGTGATTTCATGAAACAAAAAAAGTTGGTAATTTTTCCAAATCCCCTACTCTTCCCGAAAGCAATGTTTGTGAAAAAAAAAACCAACAAAAAACTATGTCAATAGTTTCAAATTAACTACTATTTATTTGACCTACACGTCAGCTAAAAGCTGTGCTAGCGTTTTAGTTTGCTTTGCAAGTTACACACGTGAAATGCAGTATCGGGAGTTCTACAGCAACGCATGGAAATAAACGTTGTTTGCCTGGTTTTGTGGCAGCACACAACTTGGGCGCTACTACTTGATGCAGCTGTGAATTTGAGGGTGATGGTGGATTGTAGCAGTACAAGGAAGAGACCTGGAACAACGACTTTTAGCCTCCGCAGCTTTAACGCTGTGTTGAAATTATTACATACAACTTATCAAAAGGGTTTAGGAAATATTGTTACCAAATAAACTAATCTATTCATCTACCTTTTCCCCCTTAAACAAGTGAATTTTTCAAACTCATTCACTACACCAAGATTACATAGAACTGAATCAGTGTTTATAGGACTCACAGTACAACCACCTTTATTGAACCATAGTACAACATCTTTAACCAACTGTAGTCTTGAATATGTAATACATCCTTAGGAGTAACTAGTATAAAAAGTATCAACATCAGTGGTTTGAATATAAAAATTTATTTAAAGTCAGAGTATGCAACAAATAAAACCTACAGAAAACAGATTTTCCCATCACAATCTGTTGCTTACCAAATAATATTGTGAAAACACATTCCTTCAGTCATTATAAAGTTCTTAAAATACAAAAGAAATTAAATTTTGTAAGAAAGTCTAGTAGACCAGAGCGTGTTTCTTCCAGGATGTTTTGTAGAAGCAAGGCTATCCTTCAATACATTCCACGCCATCCTCCTCCACCCATACTGCCTTGCCCATAGTACCCTCCACTATTTCCACTGCCACGACCTGCAAACAATTGACACAAGGTCACGCATACATACCTTGAAAAGAGAAAAAATGTGATGGGTAATACAGAACAGTTGGTTGAAGATGACTTACACTAAAACAATATTTCAGCTATTTTCTTAAACAGGCACTTGCAGTAGCAAAATGCATAAACCCCCAAGTGCTTTACAGTTTAATTTAAACAACTGCCCTCCTTCCCTTTCTCCCAGCACAAATACTCCACCGTGCACAAAGCCCACCACCACCCTTCCCCATCATCCATCAGCAGACGGATGTTAGCAACATCTTCACGAAATACACTGAAAACAGAACTTTTACTTACTATATCCGCCCAAGCCATCAGGAGTCCCGTATCCGCCGCTGTAATTGCTACCCATTCCCATTCTACCAACAGAGCCGTAACCTTGATCTGAAAAGCAGAGAGTTCATCGTTACAAGCTTAGAACTCATTAGACTTGGCAAAGTGTCCGCTAAGTCTGGAACCGATGCTTACCCATTCCATCTCTGCCATAGCCTCCCATTCCAGAACCACCTCCAGCAGTTGAATTCAGGAACAGTTCAATATACCGATGCTCTGCAGGGAACAAAAAAGCCCTACTTTGTATTTTGGTTCAGAAACCAGGATAGCTACAAAGCAAAAGACAAACCCCACCTTACAACTAACTGTTAAAAATCTACAAAAAGCAAGTCTGAAATGCGATAAATGGCAAAAACTGTTATGATTTGTATACTTACCGCACACCAACTTAAGTTAAATGCAGTTTAAGCCCTTCTATTCAGTTTACCCTTATATACCCTGCTAAGGCCTGGCCAGTAGAAGCTTTAAGTGAACACGACACTCACGCATGTGATTTTTATCCTTGGACATGGCAGCTACTGCATCCTCATGTGTTACAAATTCCACATCTGCCTCTCCTGTGGCTCTTCCATCTGCCCCAATATCAATGTGCACCCTTATAGGGTTCAATGGGGAGAAAAACTAAGAATAAAAACAACAACAAAATCACATTAATGCAGAATTCAAGCCAGGTACTTTTTTTTTTAAAAATAATCTCAGTGGTTAGTGGAGCACCGCATTAATTTCATCTCATCCTACCACATAAATTTAATTAGCAGTTTCCAAAGTATTACTTACTGATAGTGGATCTTCAACATTAGGTCAACCTACACTTACAATCTATTCTTATTACACAACCTGAAGAGCTCCAGCTACAGAGCTTGAGGAGCTTTCTTTAAGAGCAAAGATACAAACACAAATTGCTGCCCACACACATCGCTTCAAGCATCAAGTTCTACTACGATGCCATCCTGGAAAAGGGAAATAATTACTTCAAAAGAAGCAGAGCCAGACAAGTTTCTCAAAGCAGGGGCAGACTTACGGAATTAAAAAGATAACCACATTCCTTGCTACAGAATTTAAAGAGACACAGTAGTATTTCTGACCAACAGTCTTTTCACCAAACAACATGTACAAACCAACTTTTGGGATACTACTGAAGTACTATTCATTAACTTGCAATAACACGCTCTGAATCAAAGCCTGAAGTCTGGCCCTTGTTCCCAGTCTTTAGACTAAAAAAACCCCCCCAAGCTGATAGAAGAAAACACAGCTCAATTAAAAAAAAAAAAAAAAAAGCAGCCCACAACAAAGAAAAATTAAGCACAAGCTTAAGAATAGTGTTCTGCATACGTATTTTATAGATGCAATCAATTTAAGATGGCGCCCCCTGGAGAGAGGCTATGTTTAAACCAGGCCTTCTAACCCAGGAAAACCTTTTCCCCTACAAACACATCTTTACTGACACAAGAACGTACTCCCAAAATCACGCAGATGTGCTTCTATCTGCCACCCTGATCTCTTACGAGTAACGGGATACCTTCCCCTCCAATTGAGTACAGGCCTCTAGTTTTCCCACCATCCCTCCTAAAACAAGTCTCAGCTCAACATGCAAACTACAATCCATGTTTCACATCTGCTACTGCTCTTCTACAAAATTATACATCTTCAGCTAAACTTAAGCTTCTGAAAGCCTTAAGGTGAGGACACTGATTCCAACTGTTCTCTCTTCAACACACCTTTTATGGCAATGAAAACACAGAGGGTATGGAGATTAATGCTAATGACTTCAGTAATCTTACCTCAGACATTACTTTATAAAAGCTCATTTACTACCGAGCTTTGTAAAGCCCACCTAAGGGGCTGTGACTTTAGTTAGCAGTTGTGTTAGAGCTATCAATCGCTTCTTTGAGAACTTTGAGTTTGGGATAGGAAAGACAAGAAGAGGCCAACTCTTGGCATTAGAAAGCCCTTTTCCCCATTGTACTTACATTAGCAATGTCATTTTCTGTTGCTCGGAAAGGCAGTCCTCTCATGTGGACAAAGTGACCGCCACCATGGAAACCTGACCCTGCATCTGCAGCTCCGCCATAGCCATGTCCTCCCATGCCTATTAAAAAACCAAAACCAAACAAAACCACACACCTTAAGCTCATAATGAAAAGCCAGAAAAGTCATTACTACTGTTTTTCTGAACACGCTGACTTTATACCATGGAATGCAAGATGTTTAAAGTGTAAGTTGGGTATCAACCCAAACACTTAACCAGAAGACATCCTAAGCAATATATTCACCTGTTCTCAAGATTCCCCAATTCCCTCGCTTTTTAAACAACCTTCTTTCTTTACGAAATAATCTAATGAAGAAAGCAATTATTTCTGTCTTGGAAACTCAACTGTCTTACAACTCAAATAATATAAAAATCTTTTTAAACAAACTAATTTAAATTATTTTTTTTTACCTCTCCCATCCCTCATTCTGTCATCATAGCCATCATTTCCATAGCCATAGTTATTATAGCCACCATAATCATCAAAGCCACCGTATCCTGTGCAATGGAGAGAAAGAAAGGAACAGTTACATTATTACTCGCAATTCAGGGCAACGCACAAGAGTCAATTTTTCAGTCCCAAAGTTTGCAAACAGACTCTACATAGTGTTAAACCCGGATTTCCAAACAGACTGCAAATGTAAGTTTCCTTTTCTATAGTAAAAAGACTGAAACATGCAAGAGAGACCAATTTCTGCTGAAAATACAGTTTCCTTATTGTTTCCATTTAACTTAAATACTGAGCCACATTTTTTGATCCATTACAAGTAAAAATTTTTACAAACAAGTGTGTCAAACCTAAGGGGCACTGCAGCTACTGCCATTTCTTTATTTCTTGACAAAGACGTCAGAAACATCATGAAACTGACAACAGAACCTCCATTCATTAGATAAACATACCACCGTCATATCCACCACCTCCTCGACGCATTCTGTCATACATACTTCCACGCCCAGCTCCATAATAACCCCCTCTTCCTCCTAATGGTCTATCATATGGTCCAGGTCGTTGTTGTCCCATCATTCTTCTTGGCATGTCACAGAATCCTCTGATTTCGCTCTTACTACTTTTGAAGATTTCAATGTATCTAATAAAAGAGGATTTTCAAGGAACCAGTAAGAACACATGCATAAGCTGTCTGAATATTATAAAAGGCCATACTATGTTTTCTATAACTAAACGTACAATCCAACACAAGTGACTAGAGATACCATACAACTTAAGTTTCTCCTCAAAACTGTAAGAATCTTAAGTGTATAAAAAAACCCCAAAACACTTTACAGTGGCAAAAATTACTACGTGAAAATTCTAGCTGAACAAATTAAGCATAAAACATGTCTTTCCAGTATGACAAACATACTGTTGAAAAACAGTGTCTAGCTAGAGTAGCATTTATCACAAATTAACCTACACAAGAACAATTGAAACAATTTTCTGAGTTTAGCAAACTACCCAGAGCAATACTGTCTCCCCCACCCCCCAAATCTACTGTTATTTCCCAAGTTAACTTAGGATCAGTTATAAAATTTCTTAAAAACAGCCAGTTCCATATAATGGTCCCCAACCCCCCCAAAAGCATTACTGACCCACAACCCCCAAAAATAAAGATTTAACACCATCCCAAACTCTCCATCCCCACCTGTGCCCTATTCTTTCCTTGTGTTTCCCCAGAGCATTTTCTGCTATCTCCTTTGAAGCAAACTGCACGAAGGCCTCCCCTGTGCTTCTCCCCTGGTAGTCCAGCGTCAATGTTATCCCATTTGGCACGATTTCCAACCCTTTAACCCAAGGACAAATAACCCCATCAAGGGGAACAGTGTTAAAGGCTGAAACATTCCCATCTGTAGCAAATACTTAAAGCATATCTAAACAACAACAACGAAAAAGAAAACCACCTCGATTCCCCCATCACCCAACAATACAACCCAATGATCTTTCATTTAACAGTTATGGATTTAGCCATACTTCTTTTCTGTTTAAACTATGCAAAAATACAACCACCTAAGTTACATGAAGAAAATACAGCTACCAATCAAGCAATTTGACTGATCCAAATGCTAACATTCAGGTTACCCCAATATGCATAATATGTTTAGCACCTCGATAAAATTAGATACGTACTGTGTTTTACTACACCTATGGTTATTTGTACTTCATTTACAGGGCATACTTCTTACTTAAGATACACTAATTTAACACAATCCCTCCCATCCACCCCATTAACAGCTATTACAAATTAGAAAGTGCAAAACATTGTAAAAGATATAAGAAAACTCAAGTCACTATACTTTGACTACACTAGAGGTACCTTGGAAAAACTGAACAATTTCTTCTTTGCTGCAACCAAACGGCAGGCCTCGAAGTCGTACCACTGTTCCATCATTAGTTGTATCGTTTGGCCCGTTATGTTTTCCAGTCCAGTCCATCTTTTATTTAAATCAAATCCTACACGAAAAAAAAAGAAAAAAGAAGAAAGAAATTGAGATTCCATAGACGTTTAAGTCCCTCCCCTCAAAAGAAATCTGGTAGGTTTTTTTTCAGATAACGAATATTATGGATAATTAGCTTTATTTTTGTTATGTATTTTGAATCATACTTTATCACACCCACAGCACGTGCACATGTGAAACCACCCAACACTGATAGGAAACACAGCGTGCAGGGCGGGCAGCACGTGGGAAGGCACAGCACATAAAGCTCATTAATTACTCAGAGTACACTGAACATCCGTCCTACTGGGGGGTTGCTTTGGGCTTTTTTTCCTTTCTAAGCATGACAGTTGAAGAATGAGTAGGAACCAGGCCACGGTTCCTGCGTGGAAACACAAGGCCTTCCTTTGTCTGCAAACAAAGCGCCACAGGCCACGCTCCCAGCTGTTTTTCGTGTGGGGGGCTTTTCCTCCCCTTTCGGCAAGGCGGCGGGCGCCTCGGCTCCCGCGCGGCGGCAGGTGCGCGCGCACCGCCCTCAGCCGGTGGGGGCGGGGGG